AAAAAAAGTCAACACAGTAATAATTTAAGAGTAAAATTATGTATTAATATGAAAATTTTCTCCCTCTCCTATGTAAAGGACCAAAAACTTTTTTTTCCATTCTGTTCTATAAATAGAACCAATTGAGTATGTTAGTTGAAAAATCATATACTCCTCTAATCTTATTTATAAGTCAATTCTAATATATTTCACACATACTAAAAAAACTGTAAACTTTATTAACTCTCATTTTAAATTTGACAACTTTCTAATTTTATCTTTATTTAATATATATTATACTTTATATGAACAAAGTCAACACAATAATAAATAAAGGGTAAAGTTATACATCCTTCAAAAATTTTTTTTTCAGTGCTCTATAAATAGGATAAAAAATGTCTTCTCTCTTTGTCCTATAAATAAATAGAATTAGAGTAGTGTATATATTAAAACAAACGGTTGGTTTCATTCATTATTTACTACCTTTCGAAAATGTCATGCTTTGATAACTAAACATTTCCTAATAAATGACAGTAATTTATAAACACTAATTGAACTGGATGCTTGAACTTGACTTCTATGAGGTTTCTTTTAGATTAAAGAATAACAAATAATTCCATTTGTGCAAAGCACATGGGGATGGGGATTATTGTAATAATCATGAACTTTGAGACCATTAGATCCCAATGTTTAATATTTGGGTCCTAAATTGTAATATATGTATTTGATAGGCCAATACCTGCCCTACGAAAAGCAGCCAATGGGCCGTTAGGAGCATTTAAAGGATAAAATAAAATAAAACAGTGTCGGTGGGTTCATGGACTTTTTGATAGAGCCTTGCCATTTGCCAATCCAAGCTCTGCTTTTAAGCCTTTAAGCCTCTCAATGACTTTCTTTTGCGCCAAACACAGCCTTCTCTGCTCAACCAAACCTTATCCCTCTCTCGAACCCTCTGCCACATCTCGTACGCAGCGAAGAAGGAAGGTGGAGTGAAGGATGAACGGAGACGAATCGTACGGTTCCTTAGAGACTCAGTACATACGGAGACATCACAAGCATGAACCCAGGGAGAACCAGTGTACTTCCGCCCTTGTCAAGCACATACGAGCTCCCGTTCACCTTGTAAGTTGCTTGTGTTGTGTATATATTGGCATCGGAATTGGTTATCAATGGTTGATTTCGCTTCTGAGCTTTGTTTTGGTTGGTGGGTCTTTATTTGTTTCGTTTTTCAAGGCTTTGACTTTTGCCTTTTCAAGATCTGAGCAATTCAGCTCTTTAGCCTTGACGTTTCCCTTTATGGGTTCCCCCTGGTTTTGTCTCTTTCTTCATTGCTGATTCTTTAATCGAAGCTCGTGAGACACATGATGATTTTGACTTCTGTGAAATTCATATGCGTGATTATGGAATCAGTTTGGCAACAAATGTCCTTCGTTCATGTGTCATGGCCCTTTCACCTTTTTCCGTGTCAGATTTCGCTTAAATTTCAATCGAAATAAGAAAAAAGACGAAGAAGTTGGCGTTAGGAGCATCCTCACACTTGTGTAGCGCTTTAACTTTTTTGCTGACGTTTCCAGAAAAAACCAAGCAAATGCAAAGCATTGATATCTTAACGTCTGCTATTTTATCTCTTTTTGCATGATCAGTTGAACTCTGGTTTATTGTCAATATTGTAACGTATATGTATCTCATTCTGTTTCTTTATTGTGTGAAATTTGTGGCCGAAGAAAAAAAACTAATTGATCTGACTCGAAGTTTTTTTTTCCCCCTCTCCTGTCAGGTGTGGTCTCTTGTTAGAAGGTTTGATCAACCTCAGAAGTACAAACCTTTGTAAGCAGATGTATCATGCAGGGAGACCTAGGTATTGGGAGCGTTAGAGAAGTGAATGTTAAATCGGCCTTCCTGCTACGACTACTACTGAGAGGTTGGAACAACTTGACGATGAGGAACACATTCTTAGCATCAAGATTGTTGGTGGCGACCACAGACTCCGGGTATGACTGTTCTTCCGTCCTCCCTTCTCGTACTCTTCTAATTGATTCTTATTGCAAAAGTAATCGGAAAGAGGGAATAATCAGAGAAGGTAAAGATTTATGTTTTATATGTATAAAGCAACGCTCGGGAGCCTTCGGTTATGGTTGCTAAATCTTCTGAAAGTAATACCCACATCATTTCTTGGGCTGAAGTAAGGAAGGACATTGAAAATCTTAAATGCTCAGATGCTAGAACCATCACCGCAATAATCCTGCATTTGGGCATGCTGTCTGTGTTTTTCCGCCCTTAATAGAGTATATGAGATTTATTCTGCTGTTTAAATGTATCTTTTCGCTGACTGCTCAGTGTTACCGTTGGAAATGCCACAAGCTGCCTTATTGTGATATGGTATTCGATTGGGTATAATATCTGGGATTTCCTCCTTACTTCTTAATTTTATGTCATCGACCTATTTCTGCAATCATATAGATGAAAGATTGAGTGAATGAATGTGGAAATGCTTGCAACTTGCAAGTACTCAAGGTTACCATGGTTCAGAAGATTCTTACATATTGGATGCACTGCTGGTATTTCTCTAAATTTTGTAAATGTGCTTGGTACAGGTTAATATACGAGATTGTTCAATATTTTCCTTTGCTGCTGTGAAGATGTATTTATAATTAGTTTTTCCATTCTTCTAATTTTATATTGTGCCATTAAACGGTATTATTTGAATTCTGCAGAACTATTCCTCTATAATCACAGTCCATCCAGAGATCATTGATGGAAGACCTGGAACAATGGTGATTGAATCATTTGTGGTAGACGTACCTGATGGTAACACCAGGGATGAAACTTGTTACTTTGTGGAGGCGTTGATCAGATGCAATCTGAGCTCCTTGGCTGATGTCTCCGAGAGGATGGCTGTGCAGGGCCGGACTGATCCCATCAACCATTAAGTAGGTCTTTGGGAGAACAAGGTCGGTTTATGCAACTAGACGATCTGTGGCTTTCTAATCCCAGATCAGGTGTAGAGATTGGTTGGAGTATTCCTTCCACGTTCTCAGAAGTTTTGGGTGTGGGTTGCTGCCAATTTGTATTTCCATATCAAGGACGCCTTTCTCCTACCGTCCCTTCTGCATCTGTAGCTCTGTGTAATCTACTTGAGAGCAGCTGAGTTTCTCTTCTTCAGTTTTTGCGAGATGAGATTCCGAGTTTCATGAACATCGGAGGAGGGGAGCGGGAAAAGTTCCTTGTTCTCTGCTGTTCTTCTGGACTATCTGCATGGTGGTGTGTTGCTAGGGCTATTTGTAAATATTTATGTTGGAAACAAGAAGAAAAGAAAAAAAAAAAAAAAAAAAAGGGAACTGCAACCTTTGCTGTTTCTTGTACTGGTAGGAAAAGACCCCACTTTGTAGCTGCTGCCTTGATGCTCTTATCTCTTCTCTTGTATAAGTTGTTTAGTATTTTTTGTTTGCAAGTTGATTTATTCACAATTTCCCTCCCTGTTTTTGAATTTATGTTTAGGACACTTTTATCGAATGGACTCTACTTAAGGCGTGATGCACTTTGCTTTGAGGAAGTGCAAAGATATGCTGATGCTCATTGTGCGGTGGTTACAAATCCAACTTGTTTTTCCCGCCTCACTTTTTCTTTTAAAGAAGGGACCTGAGACCTCAGGAAAAAACGTGGGTGGGGTGGGGCAGGGGAGGGAGAAACGTTGAAATAAGAGATTATGATTGGTTTATTGCTATTGATGGAAGCTTCCTCATAATAATAGGAGGTGGGATGATTGTTTTAATTATAAGGCATGATTTATTGCAATTAGTGGTGGATGCTTACTCGTTGGACATTATTGGCAGATAACCGATTAACATATTTGTTGGACAAAATTTGATACTGCTTACTGACCCAATGCTTTTTATCTCGAAGAAGTCATTGAAGTGTGTGAGGAGAGTGCCTCTCTCTCTGGGAAGCATTTTAAGCTTTTTATTTTTATTTTTTTTAAAATCTAATCTTTTCTGTGTTGTTTCACTTTTATGAATGTCCATGAAAGATTCTATCTATAAAACTTTTGATCTTTTATAATCCAACAGTTGTGGGAACTTTATTTTTTAAAAAAAAGAGATAGCACAAATATATCTGCGAATTTAGACCATGAAGGACCTTCCCCCCCCCCCCCGGGGGTGAAACCATGGGAGCACAAGAATATAAATGTTTATTTTCTGCTTCACCGCTCTCCAGAAAGAAAAAAAGGCTGTTGTGTGATGAAATGTTCACATGAATTGGTTATTACCATCGTACCATGGCTCCTTTCATATTCACTCGTGGATGAACAATATTACTCATCCGGGTTCATTCGGTTTTAACAGAAGTTAGTTAAGGAGTTTGTTTGATTCCTAATGCAAGACTTAATTTATTTTATTAATCATATTTATTATTTTTAAAATTAATTTATCTAATTTACAAACCAATATATAATTTAATGTTACATGGAAGTGTTTTAGGGAGATTATATATCAAATTTATTAGACTTAAATAATTTAATTATTTTTTTAATTTATTCAAATTAATTAAATAGCTTTTATATTAAGGATCTGTGGAGGATTTTTTTTTATTGAATGATATTACCTTTACATATATTATTTTATGCCAAAAAATTACTTGAATCATTCATAGTTTTATTAACAAAATTTAATTCTAAGAAAATTAATTCTGATCATGAAAAAGAAAACAATTTGTATTGTTTAATAATATTTCTGATTCAACACCTTACGTGGAGGATACTAAAGAATGTGCGTAAAATAAAAATTTACAGTTAATAAACATGTAACATGTATCATAGAAGAAATTTTGATTGACCAATTCTGCCACGTTTTGACTCCATAAATCAGATTTGGCTTTTTGCCCTGGCCCCTGAGAGAGAAGGAACCCACAACCTTGAAGAAAACTTGGCCGGAAAAAAAAACAAAGGAAAGAGAAAAAGAAAAGAAACTTGAAGAAACCCTCTTTGGCCAAAAAAAAAGTGCCCAAGTCGTGAGATATATCAATTGCTTCAAGAAATCACCATTCCTCCGTCTACTATCATTTCTTTTCTGTCCAAATAATAAAAGTAATATAGTCACATTTACAGAATCCAGCATGCTCTTCCTATTATGTATTGTAATCCTTTTTCATTGACTTGTCTTGAGCATCAGAAAACGACAATAAACTGCTCTGAGTTCTCTTACCTACATTTCTTATTACCATCTGTCATTGCAGGAGCACTTTCCATTAACAAAATGGTGAAAGCGACCACCATCTCTGAGGAAAACACTTCGGTTTTTAGCCAAAGAGATGTACTTTGCTGCTGTATGACAATCTTGGCAAATTCTTGTGTTCTTAACAACCCTTATAGGTGCCCCACTTTTTGACTTCATCAATGCATATGTGATAGCCAACTTCTCAGTGTGACTGAGCAGAACCTTCTCCTTCTCATTGTCATCAATGTTCTGATATACACATTTAATATCAGGAACATAACCCAGCTTTCTGATTTCGGAAATCAAATGATATAGTTCAAAATATATGTCCCCTTCTTCTGGGTGTGGCTTCCCCTCTGTGGAGAACAGATGAATTGTCTGATTAATTTGTGTCCAGCTCCATACATGTGGGATCTTCAACCCCCGGGCAATCATTGATTCTTTAAGACGCTCCACATCCTCCCATTGATTAAAAGCGGAATATAAGTTCATCATCAGCACATATTAGAAGAATTGTCTGGTTCCAACTCGAAAAGATTTTTGGCTGCGACCTCTGCTAGTTTTATTTTTTATGAATTCTACAAGATGCAAGAAGAGCACCCCAAATACTAGCATCTGGTTTTATGGGCATAGTTTTTACAAAATCCCAGGCCTCATCAAGATAGCCAGCTTTTCCCAGGAGGTCTGCCATGCAACAGTAGTGCTCAATAGTTGGGTTCAAGTTGTAATCTGTCTTCATACTGTCAAAATACTTCCACCCCTCATCAACTAAACCCGAATTCTTGCAGCCAGAGAGAAGAGCAGTGAAGGTTATAGCATCGGGCTGGATACCCGTTTTGCAAAGTTCACTGAAAAGAGTAATCACCTCTTCCCCGTGGCCATAAATGGCATATCCCATCATCATGCAATTCCAACAAGGACGTGTTTTGTTCTGAATTCTTCTGAAAATATCAACAGCCACTTTCAGTCTACCTGCCTTACTGTACATGTCAATGAGGGCCGTGGCTATATAAACGTCATCCACGAAACCGAGTCTCATGGTTAAGCAATGTATCTCCTCTCCTTTCTTTAACAAGGAGAGGCCTGCACATGCAGATAGTAAGCTGCAAATGGTAGTAGAGTTGGGTTTTACATTTTCTGCTTGCATTTGGCTGAAAAACTTCAGGGCATCCCTGTAATTCTCATTCTGTGAACATCCTGATATAATAGCCGTCCAGGTAATCACATTAGGAGTCAATCCTGAATTCTTGATCCGACGAACTACAGCCAAAGCTTCGTCAGTGTAGCCACACATTGAATACCCTGACACCAAACTATTCCATGTCACTAAATCAGGTTCTATGCCTTCCTCCTTCATCTCAGTTAATAGTTTTTCGGCATTATTAAACTGGCCCTTGAAGGAATAGCCAGATATCAAAGAATTCCAAGCAGAAATGTTTTTGTTCTCTGTATTATCAAACACTGCTTGAGCTCTTTCTAAGGAATTGCTCTTGACATACATATCCACCAATGAAGTACATACATAGACATCATAGTCCAGCTCATTTCTTATAACATAACCATGGATTTCTTTCCCTAAAGCGAAGAATCCTAATTCAATGATTGCTTGTATGGCACTGGTGACTGAGCATGAATCTGGCTTGAAGCCTGCACTTTGCATTCTCCGGAAAATGGTGAGGACTGTAATGTATGAGCCCTGAAGGAGATGGGCAGACAAAAGAGAATTCCAAGTTATAATGTCTGGTTTGATATTCAATGACTCCATTTTTCGCAAGATATCCCACACATCATTCAAACTTCCAGCTACAGCATGACTTGAAATTATTGAGTTCCATGAAGACAAGTTACGATCTTCCATAGAATAGAAAACTGTTCTAGCTAGCTTCAGTTCATTGTTTCTAGAGTACATGCTAATTAAGGAATTGCAAATAGACACATTTGATTCTAAACCACATCTTAAAACATACCCGTGAATTTGTTTCCCTTCGTTGAGAGCTCTTAGTTTCCCACATGCTTGAAGTAACTTCACCATGGTTCCACAAGTCGGCTTGGCAGAAGATAGCTGCATCCTATGGAACAATGCTAAAGCTTCTCCCCACCTCTCACTTCTCAAGTTCGCAATAATTATTGTATTCCACAAGAAATCTTCATGGTGCGGCGTTTCAGCAAACACTCGATTCGCTTTATCTACACTCCAGCACATCCCATAGAAATTGATCAATGCACAATTCAAGTGCACATCAAAGTCAAGGCCTCTCTTGATCATACAAGCATGAATCTCCAACCCAAGCCACAAATCCATCAAATTGGAGCAAATTTTCAGAACTACAGTAAGAGCTCTGCTATCTAACTCCACTCCTATATTATGCAATTCCTTGAAGGCCTCCAGAATCTCTCGGGGATCGCCCCAAAAACTATCGAACTCCTCCAGAAAAGAATTCCAGAGAAGATAATTCCTCGTAAAACCTACAAAGAACACTTTTGTTGCAGACATAAAATCCCCAAATTCTAAGTAGTACCTGATCAAGCTTTTATCCATGGTATGCAAGTTCCCCTCACATGGCATTTTGAGTATCAGGGCATGCAACACTCTGACAGATTCCAAAGTCCTAATCTGACCCATGTTATGCAAAAGGTGAGAGCTCGAGGAAAGTTTAGGCGACGAAACTTGAGTAGAAGCAAAACTTGAGGTATCTATCATTCCCTGAGAAACTGAAGCGGGTGAAAGGCTTCGTGGTGGCAATTTGGTTCGTCGGTGAGGAACAGAACAAGGATTAAGAAGATGAATATGAGCCAGTTTATCCATAGAGCTTTGGCACTGAGAAGAAAAGAGAAGTGCCATTGGGCAGTGGAAAGAACGGGAGGTAAGATAGTTATATGAAAGAGGTCAAAATTGAGTCGTTCTTGAATCTTGATTCGTTTCTTTCTATTATTATTATTTTTGCTCGAAGCAAGAAATTGGATTTGTGGATAAGGTTTATCCTATTATATTGGACCGGGAAAGAAAAGGGGGAGGGAAACTAATAAACAATGACGAACCGGAATTCCTCCGGTTCATTGATTTCTTTATTTCTACTCCTCGAAAACAAAAACAAAGTCTTTAATAAATAAATAAATATGTAGTTGGCAAAAAAGAAACACAAGAATAATTTAATTAACTTTTTAATTTGATATAATGCAAAAAGAACAACACATTGCGTTAGAAGTGGCTCCTCTCCAGCAAGCGAAGAGACTATTGCGTTGCAAGGTTGCTGGAAAAAGTTTAACGACTCAAATTTAATGTTTTTTCGAAGTACATATTAACAAGTATCACTACAATTTTATGTGAATAATTTATAACTACCATCATCGTGTAATTAATAGAGAGAAACTTAGTAGGGGGGAAAAAAAATCAAACCGACCTTCGTCTTATGTACAGACACATCTTTCATTCTCTCTTTAGTCTGTTTCTCAGAACTGTTTAGTTCATTAAGACTCATTGAAGACCTCTCGTGTTACATCTCTCCATATCATTCTCTCAACAAAGCATGACAGTCAGTATAAGAGTCCATCAATAAACGAAAGCCGCTGCATTGGAAGTCTCTCAACTTCAATTCACAAGAGCCAAACGGTTTAACCTTTCTAAAATGTTCAGGGTGGGTAAATGAGTCTCTTCAATGAGACGAAGAAAATAAAATGAAATGCAAACAATGATGCTTACTCATCTTTGAAACTCATTATAATGGCTCCAATGAAGGGAGGAAAACTAAGTTAATAAAGAACTATGAATTATGAATGAAACGCTGACATAATGGATGTAAGTAAAATAATCTAAATAAAGACATATTACATACTTTTCTGTGACACCATTTGATATGCTCATATGCTTGATCGTGGTTGGTTGGTTTACATATTTTTCACACACCCGATATACCTGAGGATCTCTCTTCTTATGACAGCACAACTAAATAATCTGATGTGTAACACAACTCCATATCCTCAGTTGGCTTTAGTTTATAGTTTATAGTCCTTTCTCTGCGACAGATGTAAGTGCATTCTGCAGCTTATCTAGAAGCTCTTTCTGCACTAATATCTTTGTTTGAAGAAACTTGAGCATATACCTTCTTCGGAAGCTGAGGATTGACTTGATTACAGAATATCTGTTAGCTTTACTAAATTTAACTTTATATTGCTCAATGCTTCCTTAGAGTGCAAATCTATAAGAGACAGTAGCGTCATAGTGCTAAGGAACAAATGAGACAGTCTAACAATTTTCTAGAGTTTTGGTAGAATGATTATGATCATTAAGTTTGCAAACTGGCCAACTGGTAGGATCAAACGTTCAAACAAAATAGGAGTATACTTGTCATTCCTTACTACGAAGCAAGCAACTTAAGAACCAAAAAAAGTCGAGTCTAGCAAAAAGAGTCAATCTCTCATAATGTGACGAATTAAAGTTTGAATCTCTGTTAGGAGAGATGTCCACGTTTAGTGTCCAATAATGTCTCACATAAGATTGTCTCCAACAGGAAGTTATTAACTTAACTATATTTCATGTGTTATGATGAGGGTATAACGGGACATTAATACAAACTAAAACCACATTGCAACATCATTTTGAATTTCTACCAAGAAACATCTCAGGCTTGGGCATGAACCGGAACAAAGAACCTGTATCTTTCCAAAATGACTAGGGAAATTAGAATCCAACATGTTTGACATCTCAATTTTTATTTGCCAATTCTCAGTTACAATAGAATTAATTTCACATTCAGGCTCCACATCCTTCAATCATTCTTAAAATTCTCACACACATATTTGTCATTAAAAAAAGGAAGTACAGTATCTAAAAGAAACAGCCATTGCTTGTTTATGATCTTGCCATTAACCCGCGTTAACTAACTCTTGAAATTTTCCGAGATGTGGAAAATTTGATTGGCTTGTACATATACAATTTAAGGTAACTCAACAGAGAGCTCTATCTTTTAATTGGTTAAGCCCTCACCATTACATGTCAACCTTGAGATTCTCGTCTTAGTATTGATCAAAAGGGTGAAATTTTATAGTGAAATAGTAAATTTCAAGCTCAAAGCCTTTTAAAGTTATTTCTCCTTTCTAAATAACATTGAATCAGGTTAAATGCTTTCTCTTTTTTAAATTTTAGAGGGTATGCACTTGAAGTGGAGTTAAACCCGCAACATCCCACTCGTAAGAAAATTTTCATGACACCAACACCAAGGTATAAGGTTATTAACAAATAAAAGGTAGTTTAGCTTTGTCCATATGCTTGGGATTACGTACAAATCACAAGTAATCCACAAAAAATGCAAATGTATCTATTGCTGTTGCATCTCTAAGTCGATTGTTTTGTTAGATTAACTGATTAACAGAGAAATTAAAAGAAAAATAGATATATACAGCAGTGGACTCCTGAACGGATATCACCGTCATATTGAACTTGTTCTTTCGGTCAGCCGTTGATTTATTCCATTTTCCCCGATAAATGCAAAATATATATTATAAAGATAGCAATGTTTACATTATCAATCTATTATACAGGAACGGAAGTTGCAGATATTCATCAAGTTAATAAAAGTAACTAGAAGAGCTTGATTGAGCATTCTTTTCTGATCTCAAAGTAATATCAGCTGTTTTTCATGTTTACAGAACACAACAAGGAACTGTAGATGAGCTATGAAGGATCTCGCTCTATTGATAACATGAAGGATATTCTTCCAAGGTAGTGAGATCAAACTCTAGGCCAAATGCATATATTGTTTCTCAGTGCGTTCAAAAGCAGGTTAAGAAGCCGATGCCTCGAGTCACACAAAACAAAGCATGCAAGCTCTTCTGAGGTTTACCAGCGTTCTCTGGGACGACCATCAGGGAGTGCAGGCACAAGCATCTCTTCATCTTTAGGTGTTGACTTTTCTTCTTGTTTAATTTGTTTTTTTAGTCCAATCTCCAAACTTCCATCATCCTCGTCAAAATCTGGGGGCATGTCATCATCTTCATCGCTCCAATCATCTTCGCCGTCATTATCGTCATCGTCATCAAATCCATCATCACTCAGGAAGTTTTCAGCATCTGACCACTCATTCCCCTCTTCACCACTTTCATCTTCTCTGTCATCAGTCTCTTCCCTTCCATCTTTGTCTGTATTGGGAGCACCACTCTTGGGAAATCGTGGAACAGCAACCAAAGAACGAAGCCTTTCCTTTATAAGCAAGAATCGGTCCTTCTCTATCAACTGTGAATCACGATAAGCTTCCCTCAGAAACACAGAATCCCTGTCTCCTTTCAAAGAGACGTAAAACATATCAGGATGCCTGATCAGCATCCCTCTCAGCTGCTGAGAGAATCTGAATTCCTCTCGAAAATGAGTAAGGTGATCAACAAGGGTTCGTTTCTCAAGAGTGAGGCTCAAAATCTCATGAACAACTCCACAGGCATGCTTCTCTTTCTCCCGAGACCCAGGCCTAAGCCCTGAGAAATCTGAGTATGGTGATATGTAAGGTATGTCTCTGAACTGCATTAACTTCCTAATCTCACCCTTTGACAGATGAAGACCCTTAGGTAGCTTTACTCGGTTGAATCTGGGAGGCCTGTCTATAATTAAATTTTTTTCTTCTAGTTCTTTCATTCGATTTTCTTCTTCAGATAGCTCAGCAGCTGAAACAGCAAGCTCTGGATCCCAATGAGTTAATTCCAGCGCAGGGCCTCGCTCAGTTGCAACAACTCTGAAGTATTGTGGATACCGATGACAAATTGTTTCACGAAATTCATGTGGGAGTCCCAAATCGGTCCTCAGATGGGCAATCTTCTCCAACAATATCCGCTTTTCCAGTGACATCATCAACAATTTCCTCAGCTTCACAACTAACAAATCCTCCATTTCATTTCTAATCTTCAACTCCTCAATATAAAGCCGTTCAGCTTCTGGTGTTAATTTAAATTTCAGAGAGTAAACTCCCTCCTCCATAATCTGAAAAACTGCCGGGAATTTCTTCAACAATGCAATAAACCGCCGCTTTTTTTGCAGACCTAATTCTCTTCTAAATTTACCCAGCTGCCGAAGCGACATAATTCGATCGGGTTGACTAACAAGAATATTCCTTATCTTTAGCACCAATTTGAGCTTCTTGTCCCTTTGTATCACATTGTCAAAGGGAATTTCTTTCCTTCTCTTCACTGCCGCTCTTATTGGGCCAGGCAGGGGATGAACTTTTCTGAGATTAACCAAGTTAACATTTTCACGAGACAAGAGCAAACTCGTCCCCAAAAATTGCGACCTTTCTACCGAAACCGTTAGAGCGGAGTGGTGGGGTTTCACAAAAGGCATTGGTTTTTCCAGCAAAGGAAATTTATTTGATATAAAGAATGGTAAAGAAGTAAACGAAGAGGCTTTGGGCGAAGGAAACAACATATGTGTATCCATCTAACTATTTTCGGAATCCAAAAAGAGATACTGGAAAAAATCGAAACTACTCGAGAAAAAGTTCCAGAAAGAGAGAATTTTGGAGGGAGATAGATAACAAAGACTCACCTGGGTGAGCTTCGGTCGAGTAGTATTTTCAGGCTGCAACTGGTGCCGACGAGGATATGGATGTTAGCTCAGGGTTTATCTGCAAGCAAAACTCATAAACCCTTCGCATGATACGCTCTACTGCGGAAAGTTGAACATTGAAGCTGAATACACCGCGAGCCCGGCTAAAAAATCTGGTCCAGTAAGGAAGAGTGGCTCCAGACGACGCCGTTTATTGTGGAGTACTGAGTACTGCGGTCCACATTGTATCAGCCGAGGAAGTGTTAAAATTGTTTCCACACTATTTAATATTACTGATTAATTAATATTAAAGTATACGCGAAATTACTGTATTTTTTTAATTATTTATAAGCAATTAAGTTTAGATTAAGCGC